TGCCGTAGGACTTTTTTGGAAGTGTTCAAATGTTGTACACCAACTCCAAAAGTCAAACAATAATGCTACTGTGTTTCTTTTGGGTACAGCAAGTGCAAGGTGGTATTTGTTTTTTCAAAAGCACACGCGACACAAATTTAAAGGACTGTGTATTAAAAGTGATTCACTTTGCACATTGCACTTGCACTTGATGCATCGAAAGGGAATGCATTCACATTTTTGTTTGACATTTTGGTGTGTTACCCACTTGAAAGTCCACGACATTTCCGCACTTCAGAAAACGTGGTGCTGAATAGAGAACACTATCATAATTTCTAATAGCCTCATGTCAACCATACAGATCAAAGTTTACGGAACTAGTTCTTCGTTTGTTTTGTTTTCGAACGACCCATTTACATAATACCAACATAGTTTTCATGGAGAGAATATAAGTAGTATTATAAAATATGATAGGCATAATAATATACGGTTCTGAAAGGTCCCTGTGCCCAATATTATACAAATCGACCACCCCTCAGTATTTTGGTTACAAAACTGGGAATAAACTCTCGACTACGATGTAAACGCGGAGAGTTCACGCATTGTGCAATTTTAGTCTGATTGAGCGAAATATACTGTCCCTTCTGCCCACACGGATGACGTCGAATCCAGGTGAAATCACGTAATTCACGTGTAGACTCGACGTACAATCTTCGTGGAGAGCTGATTTCACGTGGGGTCGACGCCATACTGCCATTCCGATTTAGCTAAGAACTGTCCACAAATAATGCTCACACACAGTGCGGCGCTGCTACATAAATGATCCCTTGGGGAACTGCATTTGTATACTGCCGGTAATCTTTCAACTCTAAAGTTCTACGTCTGCAGGTGTTCAATTTGGCAACTGTGCATTTAGAGGGGTGCAACTCTGCTGTGAAGCGGAAGAAGGTGCAAACTTCACTTAGCACCAACTAAGATTTCGATGGCATATTAGATAAGATTATAATCCACATCTCTGTCCACCAAACGGTTTGGTGCTAAGTACCATAATTTGGTGTATATAGGGGTTTGTAAAAGAGGCTAACTCGACTGGACTTGTTTTGTACGATAGTTGTCACATACCGGAGGACTACCAAAGGTGTTAAGTTGACTTTACCAAAAAGTCATCAGATTTTCTCAAGAGGCAAAAGGAGGTAAGTTAACTTACCTCCTTTTGCTATCATATTTTGATGGTGACATGTTGACTTATCCCCTTTTGCACTGATAAAAAACAACAGAAAATAATGCCAATAAAAGCATTATTTTTACTGTCAGGTGTCCAGCACCAAGTTTTAAGGTATAGCTATACTATCTGGTATTGATAGGTGATGAATACAAACCACTTCGTATGTTGTTCCCTGTGAAGTGATATATTGTGCTACTAGATGATTTAATTTCACACCTGTTGACAAACTTTGCGCATGTCAGTATAATCAGATCAGACTGTTGACTTGCGCATGATTTT